AAACTCAGAGATCTGTCCGCTATGTCTTCCAGGTACTGGGATTAAAGACGTGCTTGCTACCAGTCAAGCGGCAGTGCCTGATTTTGAACTCTCCCTCTTAAGGCTTCTACCTCCTGAGTAATAGGATTCCAGGTGTGTGGCACCAAGTCTAGTTAATGCTGTGCCCTGTGTATTCCCCAGGTCTTACACACACTAGGGGAAACCAAGACAACCACACTTTCTGTGTATCTATTGATTTTCACTAAAGTTCTGAAGGCAGGAGAGAGGTAGTTCTTCAAAACTTATTTTATTCGTGTCTTTGGAGGCTCTGTAAGCCTCTTTGAAGACTGCAATGCGCAGTGAGGATTTGTCAGCTGGTGCAAGTATTTGCCATTCAGACCAGAGCAGACAGAAAATGAGTTCATTCAGTACAGAGAGCAGCGAGCATGGCAGTGACACAAATGACAGCCTTGATTTCTTCAAAATTTATTGTTCCGAGGGTAAGATGTGATGTAAAATGTGGGCACCTCTCTGCCATGGCACGCACGAGGAGGTCAGAGGCTAATTTTTAGGACTCGGTTCTCTCCTTCCACTGGTTTTGTTTGGGAAATAAGGAAGATCATGCACAAAGAAGGAGCTTGAACAAGTATAGAATTATCTACAAAGTAGCAGGTGTCTGTCACCGAACCTCTCTCTTCAGAAATGACTGCCGCTGGCAGCGACTTCTAGACCGTAACCAGGGAGACTGAGCAGCGGGGATTCTTGTGTGCTGCTAGTGGGTTTCATGGAGGGGCATAGAAATGTGCATCTAACAAAGCAAAAACTGTATACAGATACCACATGCCTCCTGGGAGCCAGGAACGCTACTCCCAGGATGCGCCCAAGAGAACCGTTATGTGTACACCACAGAATGCTTGTCACAGGTGGGTGGGGCTCACACCTGCCATCTCAGCATGCAGAGGTAGTTGGCTCTCTGTGAGCTCCAGGCCAGCCAGAAGTACAGAGTGAATTCCAGGATAGCCAGGGCTAGGCTGAGAGCCTGTCTTAAATCAAAGGCAAAACAAGCACCAATACACCAATCAGACAACCAGGAATATTCATCTAAATATACACTCATAATAGCAAACAAATAATCTAACAAACAACGCAAAAAACAAAACCCTAATGCCTACAGATACAGCATAGACACATGGCAGGAGCCTCTTTACAGGTAGAGTGTTCCACAGAAACATAGGTAGGAGTGAACACAAGTGCCTCGTGCTATTCTGACTCATGGCCAGACTCAACAGTACACCTACACGGCTGCACATAGTCCATATGAAAATGTGAAAGCATTCAAAAATGATTCCGTGGTGTCAGAAACCAAGGGCTGGAGAGATGCTCAGACAGTGAAGTGCTCGCTCTTCAGGCATGAGGATCTGACTCTGATCCCTGGCACCCACATAAAGGATATGAATGCCAGAATGTGCCTGTAATTTCAGAATGTGCTGGGAGGTGGAAACAGCGGGATCTGTGTAATTTGCTGGCCAGTCACTTTCATCAATTGGTGAGCTCTAAGTTTGGTAAGAGACCTTGACTCAAAAACTAAGGTGGAGAGCAATGTAGAAAAACATTCATTCGGATCTCTGGCTTCCACATGTGTGTGCATACACACATAACAGGCAGGCACACACAGATGCACACACACACACACACACACACACACACACGGGCAGAGATGTTTCTCAGCTGGACACACCACTGTTTGGGTTAGACAGATTCATGGTATTTTCTGTACATGTTTATACATTTTTAAATAAAAACCAAAGTAAGTCATCCAATCTGCATTAAAATTACTCACCCGAGTCACATGTGGGCTCTCAACACAATGGTTTGAAAACACAGGTACGTTTTCTGTGTGTTTACTCCTGGTTAATAGAGTGACTTTCCACCAGACACCACACAGATACACCAACCTTTCACTCAACATCACAGATACGCCAGCCTTTCATCAGATACCACACAGATACACCAACCTTCTATCCAACACCACACAAATACGCCGAATGTCTGGAACTCTATATCCAAAACCTGTCTGAAATGTCTTTGGAACATGTGGTTAGAAAGATGTGAACAGTGATGGGTGTGGTACACATAACTTGAAATCCCAGGACCTGGGAGGGTTGAATGTGATAGGCTTGGGCTGTCCATGGAGAACCCAAATTAAACAAAATAAAACAAAACGAGAATTGTGATGAATGCCGTTGAACAGAGAGGCTAGATCATGCATCTGTAAACATAGCATTTTATTAACAAATGTTTGCACCATTCTTAACACAGATTCTATAGTGACAGGGCATGCCACACTCTATCAAAGCATACGATGGAAGTCAAGCTGAAGGAACACTGTTCCAAAGTATGCCAGGTCTACCATCTGCAAACAGAAGTACACAGAAGAAAAACCTTACAACAAAAAAGCAAAAGGCCAAGTTTTCTTTTGTCAGCATTTACAAACAAAACAGACATCATACAGTTTACATAGACTTAGGTCCAGCCCAAGGTCAGACTGAAAAAACTATCATCAAACATCCATACAGGCTTAGCAAATCCTCATTCCAGTATTGTTAGGGGTGACCAGGCAGTATGTCACTTGTTGTGAAGCCACAGCTTTAAGTTCAGGCTGTTTAGAGAGCTACCAGGCTTGAGAAACCAGGAGCAAGTCGATTTTTATACAGATGCTATTTTAAAGGCACAAGTCGCTTACTCCCTGCACTGGGTCTTGATAAGGATGGCACTTTTAGAGAAATAAAGATTGCTGGTATAAAGGCTTAGGTTTTCTCTCTAGATGTCTGATTTGGACTTTTAAACTCTTTAACAAGTGCTCTCTTACAAAATCTGTGGAGTTCCTACCCTTGAGCCCATCATCCTGTCACTCTTGACAGATCATATTCTGTCACTCAGTGGTGTTTGCCTTATGGACTGCTGCTGCCCACTGCCCTTCTAGAAGTCCTTGGGGCTCTTTAACCCATAGAGAAGGGCATGTCATGTGTGTCTAGGTGGCTGGACCAGGGTGCCTGAGGGAGAACCCACAGAAAATGAGAGTAAGGCAAGAATTCAGCGTCCATCAAATAGAAGGCAGGCTGTAACTTCTGAAGGGCAGAGCAGTGATTGATGATGCTGAGTGACTCATGATGTAAAATGATGGAAAGACTGAGTGGGACAAGTTAAAAAAAAATCCTTCCCAGGGCAATAAAGCTCTGTCTACACAGCACAACAAATGGCTTAACAATAGAGCCACGATCAGCTGCTCTGACTGCCCAGCCGCCAATCATTCTCCCCCACCAAACTGACTGGTCCTTCTGACATCATGAGCATGACCCAAGTTGAGAAAGTTTCGTGCACCATGCAGTAACTTCAAACAGGAATGGGAGGGAAAGAAGTCCCAGTCTTGCTTCCAAGCTTTTTCAAGGTGTAAAATGGATGACTTAAGTATAAATGCCAAGTGTTCATGATGGTCAAAGAACGTTAGGGCTAGTCCTCAAAGACAACAGTATTGTGGGCAGTGCCTGGCAATGGTGTAGAGTAGGGGAGCGTGGGGCAGGCTCCAGTCTGGTTGTGCAGCTGACTCAAGACCTGCCTCATGGGGCAGTGGATAAAGCACACACTTGGCTTTAAATGTTTGGGACCTCTGCCTCCTTGACAATGTTAGTTCTGAGTAAAGATCATGGGCCCCACATGCAACATGCTATTTTAAAGACGATTCCCTTGAATGGACCACAGGACCACAGCAAACAACCTGCCTGTAAACACTGGGAAGCTCCTCAGTTGAAGTGGCATGAGGAGCCAGCAGGCTGTTTCTACTGTGCGATTAAGAAGGACATTTAGACCCACAGTTGAAAACTGTCAATTAAAGAACGCTCTTTAAAAAGATCATTATGGTCTTAGGACTGCCCCCCGCCCCCCATTAATTGGCAGATAGAACTAGGCACTTAAGTCCTGTCTGTGGAGAGCTACCCCGGTTTTTTGCTTGTTGTAATTATGCAGCATTTTGATGAGACACTGGGCACCATAAAATGAACTCACAGCAAATTAAAACATTTTTTTCCTTAAGTTTGTTAGACATTACGGTTTTAATCTCACCATCTACTATTTATATATTCTAATCCTGCTACCTAGAATGTTCAACATAATAAAAGGAAATCGATGGAAGGTCTGAGATTTTTTTTTTCTTATTATTAAACTTCTGAATCCTTTTGTTTTGAAGCCAAAATATTCTAGCACATCTATAATTGATTACTCTCTGAAAGGAAAGAACACAGATATTAGTTATTTCTGATAGTACAGACCATCAAATTAAACTTGATCTATGCTGGTGGAAGTCCTAGCTTCAGAGAGTAAATCACTCTCCTACATGCTAAGAGCACCCTGAAGGACGAGCTGAGAAATACGGCGATTCCAAGCTCTATTCATTTGCCCTTCGCAGCACATCTAATGAACTTCATCACGGCAGGCCCCTCACTCATCATCTTCTGAGATGCAGAAGGGAGGCTCCTGCAAAGTGTAATACCCTTCTAATATTTTTTAGACTTTCATTTGCACATAAAACAGGACAAATGCCCTGGAATTCCATTAACATTTCTCGAAAATCAGATAATCAAATTGCCTGGTTTTCTATTACTGGAAGTCAAGACGAGTCTCTCTGCTGTCACAGGAAATTCACCGAGGTCATTCCTCTAAGTCTCAAGCTAAATTCTACCTGACCCTCCTTTCCTAAAAGTGCAGTGTTCTTGTTTATCTTCTAAATAATTTGCTGCTCAGAATATTTTAAATGATGACATTTACTAATGTGTATGTCTAAGGATACGTGTGGCAATCAGAGGACAACTTGTGGAATTCTCCTTCCACTAAGTAGGTTCCGGGGATTGAATTTGTGTCATCAGCCTTGGCAGCAAGTGCTTTTACCTGCTGAGCCATCTCACCAGCTCCATTAAAAAAAAAAAAAAAAAAAAAAAAAAAAAAAAAAAAAAAAAAAAAAAATCATATTCACAGGCTATTTCAAGCATCATATCATTGAACTTTTTTTGATAAGCCAAGGAAACCAAGGGAAGGCATGGCTGACAGACTGAACCTCAAAGATACACCCCATTTTGTCCTTAAAAACTGATGAGCTGGGGTTAGGGATTTAGCTCAGTGGTACAGCACTTGCCTAGCAAGCACAAGGCCCTGGGTTTGGTCCTCAGCTCTGGAAAAACAAACAAACAAACAAACAAACAACAAAAGACAAAATAACAAAAAAAAAACAAGGTTAAAAAAAACAAACTGACGAGCTAGTAAGAGGCAGAGGAACGTATCTTGAAATCAAACAAAGATTGTGGTGCTCATCCCTTAAAAACACATGTAAATGAGGGACTGCAAGGCATTCCATGACCTAGCTCCCACTGCTAGTCAGGTCAAGCAGCCCAATGAGTGTAATGTGAAAAGTCAGCCTGTCTGGCTGCCATGTTCTAAAGCAGGGATGGAGGTCAGATCGGAGTTAAAGGGTTCCCTAAGTGAGGATTCCCTCATGACTCCTGCAGGGTCCCACAGACACAGGGCCTGGCTATAGAGACAACACAGTGTGCTGTCTTCCACTTTGAGGGTCTGTGGGTCATGGTCTCTGCGGGTTCTGGATGAGTGAAGAAGTGCAAGATGAACCCCGTCCACTTCACTTGCAACAGGAAAGGACACAAGGCAGTGAACTGTTGCCGTCTGGGATGCTGACGTGTTGGCATGCAGTGTATCCCAAACCGAATCTACCCATTCAAACATGGTACCCTTGAAATACAGCAGCAGATCCTCTGCAGTGCTAGCAGACAGCTACCTACAAGGCACCTTCAGTATTGTATCTCTTAGAGCTTTAGAAAACCCCCAAACCCACTTTCCTCCTGGAGACAAGGAAAAGATGTAAGACTTACAAGAATTTCTAAAATTAAATGTGGGTCACCCCCTTTTCATATATTAAAAAAGCCGGAGGACAGCTAATCTCAAAAAAGACGCTGGCCTCTCCTAAGACAATCTCGATACTTTGACCTGGGTAGGCACTGAAGGAACAGGAGCACAATGAGAGGAGGCGGGCACTTCAAACATCATCATAAATGGGGAACAAGGACCTAGGCTATTTTAAAAGGAATAAATCTCTCGGCTGCCATGTACAGGGCTTGTCTTGGCTGCAGCTGACAGGCGGGTGACGGCGTTTCACTGGGAACCAGAAGGGCTTGTTGGTAGGTGTTTCTCTCCAATCACTTCTCACAGAGTTTACACTGAAGGACACTTAATCAGACTCTCACTTTATGTTCTTTTAATCACCAAATGATAGTTAATTAGTTATCACAGAATCAGAAAAACACTTATGTAGAAGGAGAGATGGAGAGACAGTGGCTCCTAGGATCGGACACCTGCAAAGAGCTTATTTCAGTTTCTCTCAAAGAGATCAATACACACCGGCAGTTAATTAAAGATCTTCCCCTTCTGTTCAGTCTTCAAAGCTTTTAAAAATGGCTCTGCATCATAAGGGAACCAAAAATTTTTATGGAGAGGCTATGTCTTAATGCCTTTGGAGTCTGGCAATTTCTCTTAAGAAACAGCCAGGAGAAACAAGGAATTTATATTAGATTCCTGCTTAATCTAAAACATGGTCAAAATAAAGCACTATGTCTGACTACATTTTAATATGCATAAGGAGAAAGTAAGTGGCGATCTCCCTGTCTTCACCGAGCAAGAATGGTGGGCCTGACGGAAATCTGCTGTCACTGAGCAGTACATGATACCACAGGCAGCATGGCTCCTTTGTCTCTAGAACAGACTGGTGACACAGAGGCTGAGGAAGACATTAACACAGAGTCCATGCTTCTCATCCTGTTGATAAGACACGCAGCCGTGGCCAGAGTCCCTCCCGGCATGTGACACGAGAGGGAAGCTAGCTAGAGAAGCCACGGCCCACAGAGGAGAGCAGGAGGGGATGCAGCAGAGCAGTGAGGCAGAGGTGCTGCCCTGCACACTGATGTACCATGGCTTCCAGAATGGACCTGACTCTTCAGGTCAGGAATTCATACCACATTTTGGTGAGATGAGTTCACATATGGATAGCCTCGTCCACATGAGGCAAGCCGTTTTGTTTTTGTTTATAGAGAACGTGACAAGGCCACACTCAGGTTGGCATCACCTGGGCTGCCGGTGTGTTAAAACCTCTCCGTTTTAAGTGTGTAGGGGAGGGGCACAAAGTAGTAGCAATTGTTTTTAAAAGTTTTGACTGTTCAGTTAAGGACAGCTTTGAAAACACAATTTCGTTTGAAATTCAAGCTGTTTCATTTCCTATTTAATCTTGTAAATTTCCTTCCCTTACAATACTCGGGCTGGAAGGGCGCCAAATTAGGCCAGGAACAAATTTCCAGCAGCTTCACTTGGGTGCTTTATTTTTAGATTATATTAAAAACCTCATTAGGCCCCTGAGGGAAAAGAGTGTAAAGCACTAACAGAGGCAAGAGAAAGTAAAGGAGAGAGAGGTGAGCCGGGCTGATGGTAAGCAAAGCACTCTTAGAACAGTTGGTCTGAGCTCACTGGAAGAGCTAAGAAGTGCTTGCTCTCCCCCTAGGTGAATGACGAGTGCTGGGCTCACTCTTGCCCCAGGCAGGAAGGACTAGTCAGGCTTGTCAAGGAGGCATATGTCTTTATTACCATTTCCAGATGGGATGCAGAAGGGTGAGGGAAGAGGAAGGAAGCTGTGAGCTAAGTGCTCCATGCTTCTGCACAATGTAAATGGACTTCAGAGTTTCCTGTGGACAGGCTGAAAGACGGGTGGGATCACGTGAGACTGGGCACAGGACTAAATGAGTACTGAAAGGAATTCAGACATTAATAATGTATTTACATAATTTATAATTTTTAAGCAATGGTCTCATAAATATAGACTACAAATTTACATATGCTAGGCAGCACATACTTGTTCTTCCCACCAAATACCTGGGCCAAAGGAAAACAACAACAACAACAAAAACACCACCAAAAGAATCATTTCCTTTGTTCTTTCTCTCTTCTTTTGAAACCACTGCTCATCAGTTTAGACACATGCAACTCAACTGGCTCCAGGTAGCTTCTCCACACCATCACCTGGGCCAGGAGGGCTTATTTAGAATGGTAACAATAAATCTAGTGTGTGTGGTAACACATTCAGGGTCAGAAGCAAACCCAAGGTGAACCAGGCAGCTGCTGCTGCTGCTGCTGCGGTGTTAATTTTCTGTGCATGAAAGTGCTTTAGAGATGGTGGACTCTGTCCCAGGAACAACCATCCCTCCCCTTGTGGTCACTTTGCACATCTTAAATGATGTGACTTTGACACTAGAGATGAGGACCTAGGAGATGACCATCTCCACAGCCTTTCCCTTAAGATCCATGAAAGTGCTCATTTCCCTTTACAAATAATACATAAAATCCTGATTACAAGTACCAGCAATTCAATCCTACCACCCATACATCAGATGCTCCTTTCAGCTAGGTCAGCAACCAAGGATGTGGTCCCTTTGCATGCAGACAGAAGTCTGCAGTCAGAAACACCCATTGCAGTCTTCCAAGAGAACAAAACAGCCAGTTCCTCTGAGTCCTTTTGCATCAAGAAGACTCTCGAGCACAAGGCGGCTACCAGTGGCAGGGCCTGGCTCTCCTGCAACATCCAGGACCACCTGCTTCTTCATCAGGGTGGGGCCCTGGATCGTCAGCAGCAGCTTCGCTTTGGCTCCGATGGCTGTCTTCGGAGTTTGAAGCCCTTGCCGCCAGATGCCGGGTTGGCATCAGTGGATGGAATTCTTCGACCTGCACCAAAGTGAGAGGAGAGGAGGGAACAAGCTTTGATTTCCTAATCTGTGCCTTCTCAGACACTATTTTGATAATGTAACATGACAGTTTCTTCCAGGTAGGACAATGGCAATGCATTACGGCAGGTCCATCCAAGTAAGACAATGAAGATGACCAAGATGACAGGGACACAGTGTGTCTGTTCACTCTGATCCAGCATCACCTAATGCTGAGCCCACAGAACACCTGCCACAGTGAAGAACAAAACATTGCCACAGCAGCAGAAGCCCAGGTCTTTCAGATGTCACCAACTCTTAAACTATCTCCTATTTCTATTCCAGGATCCAAATAAGGATGCCAAACAGCATTCAGTAAACTTTTTAAATACAAAAATCAAGACTGGAAACATTTTCTGTTGAGCCAGTAATGCATGCATGTTAAGAACAAAACAAAACAAAACAAAACAAAACAGAACAACAACAACAACAACAACAACAACAAAACAAAACAACAACAAAAAAAAAACCAGGCCCTATCCCATGTCTCAGGGCAGAGGCCACCACAGGGGTGCGGAAGCTCCCACTGTACCCAGCTCCTCTGCCCCCAGGATGGTCTCTTCTGGTACACAAAGCGCTGCTGTTGCTCTGAACAGCTGGGCATGTGCCCTGTCTCCTAGACTAACCACTCCTCTACGGATCCCTAGTTCCTCAGCGTACTGCAACTGCATAGGGGGATTAAAGAGACCGTGAGGAACCAGGGCACTGTTCTACTTCAGGGCATTATTCTGACATATGCACCACATTCCCAGTGTTCTACCTTGAGCAATTTAATGTTTGACAGGTGCTGCCAAGCCGCTTTCTGAAGAGCTGTGGCATTTCATCTCTCATGACATCACAGGAGAGGGCAGGCTTCACTTTACGGCTCTGTGAGGCTAATGTCAACTTGGAAAAAACCCTTCACTCACTGTCTACCCACCTGGCTGACATGGCTCAAGGCTGCTTCATGTATGAAGAGTTTTCTAGCCTCCCCCTTCCGAGTTACTCCAACACCTCACACACCACAGGCACCAGGACACCAGCAGCATGCTAGACTTGTTTTCTGTGTGACTGCTATCCTCAAACTGGACCCTAAGCCCTACTTTCTGTCTTGCCTACTTTCCACTGTGGTACTCCCAGATCTCTGAGGCACAGCACCAGGCAGAGAGGCTATCTGTCTGGTGTCTAAAGAGAGAATTAACAACAGGGGTATCTTCTGACGTCAGCAAGGCTGAGAGACAATCCCTGACAATTCTCTGCGAAATCTTGAGGCATCCCCACTGTGGGCTTTAACCTGTGTAGACACAACATAATATCACTTCTACATGGAAGAAAGTATTCCTCAACTTTCCAAATGCACTGCAACACTGTTGTGAACAAATCACTAAATATAGTTAAAAGTCTCCTAAAGTTCTTATCATTATGGTTTTCTCAATAAACAGAAATGGAAATATAGCTGGTAACTCAGAGGCAACTGAAATGTGACAAAAGATTTTCAAATGTGTTTTAGATATCTTTATGGTCTGGGCACAGCCAATGGTTTCATAATCAGGAACTATGCGGACCATAAAGCAAAGTAAGGATAAACTGAATTCAGTTTGGGTTAAGAAGCCCAGTTCACTGAAGGACTGATTCAGAAATCAAACCAAAGGAGAAGGTACTCCCAACATCGATAATCAACCAGGGACTGATACCCAGAGTAAAGCCCAACTCATTAGGAAGGTGGGTGGTGACTCGGCAGGAAGGCAGGCAAGAGGCTACGAGGGCGCCAGCTACTATCAGGTAGAAATCTGTAGGCAGACAGGTGCTCACCTTCAAGACAGACATGAGGATGCAGGTCCTGCCTCTCCTACAGATGAGAGGGAAGAAATCTCATACACCACTGCTGTGGGCAGCAGCTGGTACAACTACCACTTTGCAAACTGTTTGGCAGTAAAGCCACAGGGAACACATGCAAATCTAATGACGCAGCAATCTTTCTCTCAGGCACAGAGATACTGAGCAAAAATGCATCCAGATGTTCCTTAGAGGACACAGGATGTTCAACAGTGCAGTGTGTAATTGCCCTAAGTCAGAAACAACTGCCCAATGTCTGTCAACAGCAGGAGGGACCATTATACTGTAACCAGTCTCCATTTCTTCTTTTCCCAACTTTGAGTTCTGACACTGACAAACACCAGCCACGAGAATGTATCTTTTGAAGGTGCATGGGATATACAATATAAGCACATGATGTAGAGCAGAAGTCACATACAGCATATATGAAGTCCTGGGTTCAATTCCCAGCACTATCCACAGCATGAGACATGGTGGTACAAGTGTATTCTAAGAGTCAGGAGGGAGAGAAAGGAGGCTATCGAAGTCATCCTCAGTCACAGAGTGAGTGTGATATCAGCCTGGGCTACAGAAGATGGAAACAATGGAGGAGATATAGCAGTAAAGTGCTGGCACAGACTTTAATCTCAGCACTTGGGGGAAGAAACAGGTAGATACCTTTGAGTTCCGGACAAGTATGAGCTACCTAGTGAGATTTTGTCTCAACAAACAAACAACAACAACAAAAACAAAACACGGGAAACAAAAGCAACTGAGGAGCTGTCTATCAAGATGGGTTATCCTTTGGGGTAGGAACAGCTGTGACTCCAGGTGTCATTCACAGGCTTTTTTTTTGCCTTTGTGCTTCTAAACTACCTTTTTCTGCGTGTACATTATACTTCAACCCAAAGCCTGTGTGCCAGGCACAAGTTATCCATCGATACCCACTGAGGAAAAAGTAAAGATGATTTCTTTCTCTGTAAGGTTCCCATCTCCTTGCCCACGGTCAATTCTTCTCAGTTACAGGTGTGCACTATGTGTCTGCCTCTTTCTCTTTGCAGTGTCGGGAACTGAACCCACAGCCCTGAACGTGACAGGAAAGTCACACCACAGGGATGCACTTGCTTGTGAGGTTTTGCTATATGGATTTGTTGTCTATAAAGCCTACTACCCGTTACCTTTAAAACTAGAAAAAGCTCCCACAACAAAGCCAGGAATACTTTGAACACATGACACGCTACATACAGACATTCAAAAAGACCATTAAGACTCCTTTTAAGAATGAACCGGGCTACTGCCACTTAGGATCACCATATCTTAGACATGAGTTGAAGAGAAAAGCTTGAGTGTACCAGTGGTAGACCACTGGCTGTCTGAGTTCTGCAAAGAACTCTAAGGTTTAAATGGCTAAAATGACACAATGGAACAAACATAAAAATCCACATCTCTGAGCCATCGAAACTGTCATGTGTGTCCAACTAGATGTGTGGACTCATACTTGTAAATTCCAGTAGTTGGGAATTTACAACAGGGGAACCACTTTGAGTTCAAGCTTGAGCTACAGAGTAAGACTCTGAGAACCTGTCTCAAAAGAAAAACACAAAATGAAAATAAAGCAGCCCTAATCTCCAGATCCCAAAGAGGTCTAACTGCTGCAACAGGACAAGCTGTGGATACCATACCACAGACCTGCTCCCTTGGACAGTCCCCATACGGCTCTGGTGGGTCCTGCAATGCTTTACATTCACCTTCAACAAGGCCAAGAGCTCTTCCAGCTCCCAGCTACTCTGGATCTCAACCTAAGGGCAGCTGATAGGCAAATGCACTAAGCTTGAATGGCTACTCTTGCCATCCAGGAGCTGGCTATGCTCAGTTAAAGCAAATCATCTAGCTCTTCGAGGCCTGTACTATCAGGCCTCAGCTCTCATTCACTGCCTCAAAGAGACCTATCCCAACCATCTTCCTTCATCAGGCCTCAGCTTCCAACTGTCTTCCCAGAGGGGCTTTCTGGGACGGTCTGCACGCATTCTTACATCTACCTCAATTGCTTTCTTCATATCTCTTATTATTATCTGAAATGATTCTATTTATCTGGAGTTCACCACCTGACTCCCTCAACAGAACATATACTCTAAGGGAGCAAAGGCTGCATCTATCTTCTTTAGGCTGATCCTTTGAGTCTGGAACAGTTCCCAATAAATATTTTGATGAATTTGAATGAAATGAATAAACACAGATGCAATCTACAGAAGAGTCCCAAAGGCAAGAAGCAGCCTCTCTCTCTCCTACCATCTACATGCTAACACTCTGAAGGAAGAGAAGGGGGAAAAGGACTGACCCTTTCCTTACCGAGGACTAATTTTTGAGGTTTTTCTTAAGACAGACCACACACACATTTCATTTCCCTTGAGTTATTTTGTTCTTTTTCCATCTAGAAACCTTTAGTATTTTTTAACTCTGTGTATGTCTACATATAGGTATGAGCACACAAGTATAGCTGGGTGCAGAGGCCAAAAGACTTGGAGCCTCTGGAGCTGGAGTTTCAGGTGGTTGTGAGCATGATGTGTGCTGGGAATGAAACTCAGGTCCTCTGGAAGAGCAGTGTCTGATCTCAAGCGCTAAGCCAGTTCTCCAGACTCTATTTTGCTCATTTCTGATGGTCTTAGATGAGTAACTGAAACACATTTAGAAGATAACAGAAGGTGGCTTTGACACTGAGAGGCATTCTCTCTGGAAAGGTGCTCATTACCAAGCAACACCCAGAAACTCCACCATGACAGACATGGGTTGTTCTTATCTGTTCAAGTTTGCTTTCAAGGACACAGTCTTAGAGACTGTACCAAACAAGGTAAGAGTCTAACCACAAAGAAAATTCTGTTTTTGTTTGCCCTGAACAGAAGAAACCCCCAAGATGCAGTGATACTTACTAATTTCTATAAAGAGTTCATTTATGTTTATTGCATTTTTTGCGCTGGTCTCTACAAAGATGGCATGGATGGAATCAGCGTAGTCCTTAGCGTCTCTTTCCATGACTTCTCTGGAAGGCAACAATTGCTAATCAGAGTTTCTGCCCCTGAGGACCCTCTCCCACTCCCCATCCCCCTTGACAACAGAAGAATAGCTCCATCAGCTATGGCATGAGCCCAGACAGACTTTCCAGTTACATGATCTTCCTGATAAGATTTTCTACAAGCACTATATTAAACAACCCTGCCCCACGCCCAACAAAACAAAAGCAAGGCTCTAGGAATCAGACATAGTGCACAGAAACTGTCAATAATAAATGCACCTTTTTTATTCAGCCTGTCATAGCAGCCTGGGGAGGCAATGATCTCAGATAATGCCATGTGTGATACCACCAATGTTTGAGTAAATTACACAACTGTCTACATGTAATATAATTAATTCCAAATGCCTTAAGTCTTCATTTTAGTTTGAAACTTTAGGGCCAACCAGGTAACACAAGAAATTTTTCAATGTCAGAGATAAAATCAAAGCTCGACTCTTATGCTGGATCTGGCTCATTAGAAAAAGAACACCTAATCGGCACGGGAATCTCGTGCCCAGTCACTCACCTGACATCAGTAAGATCACACTTGTTCCCTGCAATGGCAACAACAATGCTGGGGGGGCCGTGCTGGCGGAGCTCTCTCACCCAGTTCTTCAGTGTTGAAAACGTCTCCTGCAATATGAAGGGAGAGTATCTAGAGGCCTGAGCAACAGATGATGGCATCTAAGAAGAAATGAATAAAGTCTTACTTCTTTTGTGATGTCATAAACGATGATGGCTGCTGCTGACCCTCGATAGTACATCGGTGCCAAGGCACGAAACTGCAGAGGGGAGAAGCAGCAATGAAACTGGGGTGGCCAGTTAAAGATGTCCTCTTACAGACTTTGAAGTCCATTATCCCTACACAAAAGGTAATTTTTCTCTGAAGCCACAGAAGATGACATACCACTTTACAGCAAAAGAACCCGTAATTACCAGAGGCGAAGACTGACTGTAGTGCCGGAATGTCCCACCAAAAATAGTCTAGAAAACAGCTTATTAGGAACTGAATATGGGGCAATAAGCAATTGTTTCAGCTAAAAAAGCTTTTTAATTCAACTCACTGTTATAATTCCCAAATTCATTTGTTGAATAGTCCTTTAAACTTTGGCTTCCCAAACTAAGGCGATAAAAACCTCACTATAAACAAGTTCCCAGAGAAACGGCTGCATTACTGGGTGTTGTAGAGACAACACTGTAATCTACATGTTGATTGTCCTAGATATGAACACACATTTAAATTCACTACTTAAATGAGTTTGCAAGTGGCTTTTCTGACATCTCCATGTACAGGTCTCATCTCTCTTCCACAGTGTCACATTGCAAACACAGTTGCCGGCTCCTCCTACCGTACACTAGAGAGGGATACAGAAGGGAAAAGGACCATCCTCAAAGCAAGGGTAATTCAGTGGACCACTTCCTTGGAGGAGTGTGGGATAGAAAATGAAAAGCCCTTTCCTCACTCAAATCTGGGTCTAGGGCAAATGTTTCAGTGTGGCTCTTGTCCACCATACCTTCATCTTACATTTTGACTTTGAGATCTGGTTCCCAAGAGTGATGCAACATCCACGTACTGCAACCTGCTCCTCAGAGAGCATTGGGTGCACATATGGAACACACATAGCATGCCTGTGTGTCTTTAATGTCTCGAAGCTCAGGGTTACCCCTTCTGATAAAGTAGTGGCATTAGGACTGCAACCCCAGGGAAGATGAACAACTGCCATGGCCCTGGTGCACTACAGGTAACCAAGAGCTACAAAACAGACAGTCTCAGTCCTCTCTGCCTCCATAAGCATTTAAAATGTTGGACTGGCTGCACAGTGTAAGAGAACGAGATGGTGGCATGCAGGCACAACTAGGATCATGGTCCTACCTGCCTCCACTGTGGATGTTATTTGTATTGGCAACATCATTTAGAGGGTCATTTCTTTCTCTAAAGATTTGTAAGGTGAAATTCACATCAAGAAAAGCTGATTGCAAGTCTACAATATGTAAGTCAACAAACACAAGTCCCCACATAGATGCTCATCACAAAGACAAAGCGTTTCTGTCAACACAGACCATCCCCAAGATCTCTAGCACTTGTCTTCAACTCTACTGGTAGAGGGAACACAACCACAGTGTTTTTAATTTTTTTTCCTTTTGCTTATAATCTGGATAGAACATGCTTTCCAATCTCTCATTTTCTCTCCTCTGAGCACATTTCTTTAATCACCTCACCACAGTTGAGGTCTCATGGCAGTTGTGTCACCCCTGCCCACTCAGTGGAGGGCTTGGTGTGCTTTACATCCACGAATGTATCTGCTGTGCCTGCACACAGGTCTAGGGCTTTGTTGCAAAGTTGTTCAAATTTTTAAAAATGCCCCTGTTCCTCTTTCTTCCTCTTCCACAGTAAGTTTTAGTATCCCAGGCTGGTCTTGAATTCATAGGGTAGCCAAGGAAGACCCTAAACTTTTGGCATTCCCACCTCAGTCTCCTGACTGAAGGTATACTACCACACCCGACTTAGACGGTGCCAGGGATCAAGCTCCAGGCTTGCTGCGTCCTGCCCCAGGCCCCAAGCTTAGCCTGTTAGTTATACTTTCCTGCATTACTTACTAGGTGGCCGTTCTTGTAACTACAATAAAACTTTTTCTAGTACATTGCTATTTTAAATGTATGCTTCCAATAAAACATTGGAACCTTACATGAACTTAACCTCTCCTGATAGTATCTTGCATGAATCTAAACTCTTCAACTTCACCATTCTCCGGCTGCTGCTCCTAAATGCTTCAAATGCACACTGTTGAATGAAATAGCTAGTTGTCCAGAAGTTGTGAAGAACAAAATAAATTATGATTTTCGCCCTTTATTGCCTACAGTAATCATTATGTCTTTCTTTAGGATATGAGTAGCCATTTTTGGGACTGCTACTACTGAACCTTCTGCTTTTACTTTCCCAAGACTATTTTGATTCTGTATCTGGAAGACAATTTTCGCAGATGGACTTGTTTGCATGCCCAAAATATGCTAGAGACTCTGACCATTGGCCTGCCAACACTGTTTCTGTGAGAAGTCAACTCCCCTCATATTGTTCTCTGGTATATATCTCTGGCTGATTGAGGACTTTCTCTTTATCTTCAGTTTATGACAGCTTGATTAGGGTCCATGCTGTACTTAAAAGGTTTGCTGAAGCCATTAGAATTTAGAGTTGATTTTCACCAAACTGGAAACGCTGGATTCAGTCATCAAATACTGAAACACTGTCTTTACCTTGTACTCTATTGCTCCTTTCTTCTTTCTGGGTGCTGGTTCTACTATACTCAGTTGACCAAGCCTCTATGTTGCTGAGACTATGCAGACTTTCCTGGCCTCTCCTTTTCTGTGCTTCTAAGCAATCTATTCTATTGGCCACCCAGCCAACTTTGCCTCTTGACACTGTGGCTTTAAATCTTAGCATTTCCACTTCCTTTCTGTACAAGCTTCCCATCTGCAGTTATCCTGCCATTCTGTGAACCTTCAGACATACTTAAAGGAAGCATGCTTTCAACTTTGGCTGCAGACTCCCATCACAGTGTTGTCCTCTGTTCTCGCTTTCCCATACATGCAACAACTGTGACCGCACACTGGCCAGCTGCCACTATCATGTTGAAGAGTGGTAAGTAACTCTTACCATCTTGAGACTGCATATGTACAGTCAGGATGGCTCTATTTGGACTGGATCTCAAGTCCAGGACACTGTCTCTCCTCTGAACGAGATTCTTCATCAGAATGCTTAAGGACTTTACCAATACTCTTGAATGTGGCGGACTGGGTTTAAACTCCAGCTCTGCTGTATGAAGGAGCTGTGAGTCTTTGCTCAGCCTCACTGTGTTTGCAATGCCTTGTCTGCACTTTCACAAAGGCATGTGGAGGGCTTCTGAAGACTTTAGGACTTTCCTTTCTGGGACGTGGCTTTTCACAGATCAATGCTTTCATCCAGCAGCTCTAGCACTCTCAGACAACGTCTCCCACGATCATAGTCTACATTTCCTGGCCAGTCAGTGGTAGTGCATGCCTTTAACCCCAGCACTCGGGAAGCAGAGGTAGGCAGATCTCTGTGCATTTGAGGCCAGCCTGGTCTACTCAGTGAGATCCAGGCCCAGCCAGGGCTACACAGAGAACCCCTGTCTTGAAAAACAAAAAAAACCAACCAAACAAGACCTTTTCTGCTTGACTCCTTGCTGCTCTATGCCACACAACTGGGAGTGAGCTGGGTCTGTCTGTGAGGCCTGGACCATGCCAGCATATGCCTTGGTCACTGCTTGTTTGTTAGCACTTTCAAAAAGCTCCTTTGTAAAGTCTGAGCCAACATTTACAAGCCAGGGTGGCCCTCATGAGCTACACTCCTGTGCTGACTTTGAAAGAATCCACTATTCTGGTAAAGAAAGAACACTGACACAGATAAAGAGATTCCAAAGATGTCATCTCCAAGTCTGGCTCTAGATTAGGGGACAGCAAAGTTTCCCACTGTGGACCAGATAAGAATAGCTTCGGCTCTGTGGCCCTCTGATTTCCGTCACAGTATTATTGTATTTTCATCACCAGGATTACTACTGTAGAGTAAGAGCACAGTACAGCACAGTACAGCACAGCACAGCACAGCACAGCACAACACAAAGAGAACAGAAAAGCATGGTTGTGTTCTAATAAAACTTTATTTACAAGAGTGGGTGGCTGGTTCAATATGGCCCATGTCTGCCATCTCAGATGTTCTAGATGCTCCTAAGTGCTCCTTGTCCCAATTTAAGCACTAACAACAACTGCTTATGTGAATCCTATAAGAATTGGTCGCCTTCATGCTCTTCCAACCTCTGTGGAACAGGCAGCCAGAACAAGTGCAGGAGAACACAGGGTTGTAAACTGTTATAAATGTGGCCAAGAAGCCTTCCAGACTGTCAGTTAGGTTGCACTGGGGATGTTGCCCTGCATTCATGGTGTATTTATGACATGCATTCATGGTAGCAATCTGTGTATGTTCTGGGGTTTAAGTAGGACAAAATAAGCTCACTCAAATTGCAAACAGTGGACAAAGGACTCACAAATGCTCAGTCTTAAGAAAATATATTTAATCGTGAAAACAAGTTTCATTTGAGAAACTTCACCCTTCTTTTTAGAGCCAAGAGCTGATGTTTAGAAAAGTCTGAGTTGGTGAGGAGACAGTGTGATGAGCTGCTTCTGCTAGGAATGTATGAGAGCACCACATGGGACCTTTCATTTTACAGTGGACTCTCATACTCCTCACAGAAACAGTCGCTTTGAAAAAACATCTGAGGGTTCCAGTCTGTTTTTCTAGGCACTTCTTAACCTTTTGATATACAAACCATTGTCTTCTTAGCACTTCTTTCCTTTTAATGTAACAAGCTCCCTCAGTCAAGGACTCACATACCATTCAATTTCTACTTGCTTTCATCGTCTTAGTGAAATCACTTTGCGGTATGTTGAAACTTGTCAGAAAACCCATCGTTCAGAACTACATGCGGCAACTGATGTGAGGGTCAAATGGGGAGAACATTTGTTCATCAAAAAGCTTTTTCATTCTGCAATGGTTTTGGGTCCCCACCATGAATCTCAACACTACAGAGCTAAGCAATAAACATGGTAACACCAGAGACTTATTGCTGGAGTCATGGAGTACCCATAGTAGGAAGAAAGGCTCTGTCTTTATCTGTCACAAGATGGACTACCAACCAGCTGACGTAAGTACTAACATCAATGCCATGTGCCAGGGGCTGGGAGCACATAGGAGGGCATTCCCTGACCCTCAAAGAGGTCACAGTCTAATGGAAGACAGAAATATAAGAAAATACGTGACAATTCCATGATTGAAGGCAAGCAAAGACTATTCAGGACATATAGTTGATCTGCTGCCACCCAACTAACTCCTGGGTGTTTGTTTGCCTTTGTTTGGTACTGTGCCAGGGCACTGGGACTACAGCAGTAAGCAAGACATGCAGGCACAGCTCTTGACCTTTACATCTCCGCGGGAGAAGCTGTCAATAAAGGTAGATAGCTGAACAGACATTACAACTTGCAATGAATATCTTGAAAATGAATGCTAGCAATGATAGAAAATGAACCTAGGACCCTGCTCAGGTATAGGGAGACAGGGAAAATGCTGAGGTATGACATTTTGCCTGAACAGCTGGTAAGAACCCTGTGCCAGTGAGAAGGACCAGTATATATGAAGGCCTGATGGCACGTATGTGCAAGGTCCTGCCATGGAGGCCAGTAGGCAAGAACAACAGAGTAGGACACATGGGCTGCATGGGTCCCTTAGAACATAGCTAGAGGTGAGTAAGAGTCAGCAAGAAGATAGAGTGTGATCCATGTTCCTCATACTGTCTGGGTTCTCTTGAATAGTGATATGGGTCAGGACTGGGTGAAGACAAAAGGCTGCATTTGAATGAAAGTGAGGGCACCCAAAGCCCAGCAGAGTAGAGAACCGAAGAACTGTGTGGCCAGCAACGCTGTTAGAGAATGCAAGATCTGAGTATAAGAAGCACAGCTTTCTGACAACTGAGGTGTTAGGACAGCCCTTCTTTGCGTGACAAAGGTAGGCTCCAAGGCTGGTCAGTTATCAGGCAAAGGATGGGAAGAAAGACAAGACAATATAGAGCTGTGTGGCACACTGGAGAAGCACACATTTACTGCTCCAGGGCAGATTAGGTAGGAGGAGACAGCAGAGTCTAGCAACAGCTAGCATAAAAGGCCTTGAAGACCTAGCCCTGAATGAATGGGCAATCCTTGAATTAACCCTGAAATCTGGAGACCTGGGTATGTCCTTCTGCACAGTGATACTGGCCACACCTAGTATTCTTCTCTTGATTCTCTTCTGCCTTCAGCATCTCCTAGTTAAGGGGCCCTGTCCCTGGCCTTGCCTTTCAGTATCTCCTGCCCAGCTCTAGGATGCAAAATGGTACTTCATGCAAGGAAAGCCAGATTGCACCACAGAGCAGCACTATCTGCCAAAGTAGTCAGTCATGGTCCTTAGGGTCTTGTGACCACTTAAGTAGAGGGAAGGGCAAGCCTAGGCATTCATTCCACTTCCATCATATAAAAAAAATCACCCTAATAATGGAGCCTGTATGGCAGCATGTGAGCATCAAACATACATTGAGAGGGCAACTGAAACCTGGGATCCAATAGAAGGATACATCTGTCACTACCAGGGAAAGTCCATGCATGTGGCTACTGGCACAATGCTAGGATACTATGCAGATACATCCAGTAGGACAGCTGTCCTAACTTCCTGTTCTAGATGCACACAGGCCACCAACACAGCAAGGGTGGATGCTCTGATAGGTGATACATAGTTTTAAAACTGAAGGCAGCCAGCAGTAAGGCTGAGGCACAACCTGTGCTCAGATGGACAGTAGGACACCACTGCAGCATTCCTTCATTTGTTGGGGTGATTTTTGTCAGTATCCATGCTGTCTGTCTTAGGTAAGAGTGTGCTGACAAACAATTTTCCTGATTACTTCTGGTATACTGTCAAGGGCTTAGGATAGTCCCTCGCACCCACCAGGTGCTCTGTTTGGATAGAATCATTTGAAAGCAAAACTAAACTGCAGCTGACTAATGGGATGACCACTGCATGTACCTCATCAAGGAAACTGGACTTAGTGTCCCGAATGGAATGAGAACAAGGGTGTGCTGCAGTTTTGGCTCCCCCTTCCATGTCTATCCTGCTCCCCCCACCTTCCTCAGTTTCCATCCCACTGTGCTGCCTGCCACAGCACTCCACTGGCTCTACACTGAGGTGGGGATAGCTAGAGCTTCAGACAGGCTCCCTGTCAGGCATTTAAGTGCCTGTCACAGGCACTGCATTAGCTAATCTGTCCACTTAAACCTCAAAGTTTATACGCCGTAAAGTTCCCTCTTTAGCTTTTAAAAGCGGCTATAAATGAGCTGTGCTTAATTCTCCCTTTCTACCACTAATTCTTTTACATCTTTACTAGAGGACAGAGCCCCAAATCACACACTCTGCTCCAGGAACTTTATCAGGCCTGTTAGTCAGCATTTACTTTAAGACACTAAAAAGTATAAAAACGCCCTCAGTGCCCATTATCACTTTCTCCATCAGTAGACTTTGTGGCTCTAATTGAAAAGAAAAAGGCTGGCCCATGCAAATGGAAGTATATGTGTCTCTGGTGCAAAGAAGTGAAGAGCAGTGGACAACAGGGACGCTGACAGCTTAGTTGGAGCCATAATTTGTTTTGGGCCTGAGAAAACATAGTAAATGAAAGAGTGACTTACTCGTTCTTGTCCAGCTGTATCCCAGATTAGGAATTTATGTAGCTCATTTTGGTACTGGACAGTCTTGGTCATAAAAGATGCCCTATAAAGAGAGACCTAAATGGTCAGAACACAGTTATTTAACACCCGTGTCCAGCCCCAGTCGGAATCATCACTTTGACTTAGCACTCAGGCTCCCAGCTCCCCACTATATCCTCACCATGTTCCTCTGGAGTGTGAGGGACGGCCAGACACTGGCTGTAGCCTCTGCCAAAACAAAGCATTGGGCACATGTGCCTGACAGAGGAAGAAGCCAAAGAACTGAGAGAGCCCAGTAATTGGAAGCTTAGCTTAGGCTCCCTCGTAAAATGCAAGGCACTATCATTCAAACAGGTGGGTACCATAAATAAGGCTTATTTTATTTTATTCTTGTGAGGCTGTGTGTGTGTGCATGCCCATACACTTACAAGGCAAGCACTCTTACCTGCTTAACAAGTTCACTGGCCCCAAGAGAAAACTGTCTAAAGACCACTGTGCTCAGGGACCTGAGCATTAGACAAAAACACCTCACAACATTCTGGGTTTCTCCTCCAGTTCTCAAACCATGTGCCACATAAATAGCCAAGTAAGAACCAGGGAAACATGGGAGCTCATAGAATTATGATGACAAACAAAAGAGGACAAGCAAGGATGGCTTCTAGGAAAGCTGAAGTAAGTGATGGTGGCCTCTGTACTATTATCACTGTGCTTTATGAACACAATGCCTTCTTAGCTGAGGCTCAGTGTCGGCCACAGAACACTCCCTAGCCCATGGTCACACTCAAAGTTTGTATTATTTGGGGGTCCTACACATTTTGCAGGACTTTGAAAAAAACTACCAAGTGCCCGTGCATTTCTGAGGAGTCCACAGCCACAGCACAAGCCTGACGTTCTCAGTCTTGAGATGGAGGCCTGGAGCTGTCCTCTCCCTATGTTGGTTCAAAGAACCCAGAAATGGCCCTCTGGGGTAAACAGCCAAGATGTGTATTTTTTAGAGATGGGTTTCCCTTTGTAGCCCAGGCTAGTCTTGAACTCACAATCCAGCCATAGCTTCTGAGGGCTGTGATTATAGGTGTGAGTCAGCATGCCAGGCCTGAGGTGTCCTCTTAAACTACATCCCAGTCAATGCAATCTAGACAATGAACTCAATGCTTGACATTCTCAGCCTTAATTAGAGGTAATATTCAAGAGAGTGCATTATAAGGACTGCTAGAGGAATACAGAGCTCCACAAGTATCAGAATTCTTAGAAACACTTATGCAAATTCACAGCCCAGCAGGCAGCCTTGCAAACTGGCTGTTAAGGATGGCAAGTGAGTGGAGAAGCAAGACCTAGCTATACTACAGGTGCTGTTGGCCCCATGGAGCCCCAGGAAACGCTTTGTGGTTAAAGGTTCTCCATAAAGTCCACATATTCAGAACTTCTGGTGAGTCTCTCTAAATCAGGATGCCAACAGGGTTCCTCACTTGAGAAAGATGTGGTAGTCAGGGAGCACAGCTTTGGAGAAGTGGTAAGAGAAGACATGTCTGCATGGGTGTGACTGCTCAAAGGCAGCTCAGAAAATGTTCACTTCAAACTGTCTAACAAGACCCAAATTAAGCTGACCACTCAGCTCTGATTAGCAGCACCTTGGTACTATGGCAAGTGTGACAGCACGCAGATCACACACATGTTGAGTGCTGGAGGGACAGGCCAGGCTGCATTCCTTGTGAACTGAAAGCCGAGGAAGGAGGGTGCAGGCATTAAGAGCCTTAAGCTCACAGCTCACACAGTCTACCGTGCCTTCAACCAGTTCCTTCATGAAGACAGACTTCCATGAGTAAGAGGAAACAAACACAGCACAGTCTTCAATGTCTGAGAAGAATGAGGCCTGTACCCCAGAGTCCTCACTGCACATCCTCCCAGGCTTCCCACAGCTCTTCCTCTGTAGTTGGGTTCTGTCTGCAGCTGTCTCTTTGCTGTCCAGGAACTTAGTCAACACTTACTGTGGTTGCCCACAGGCTTCCTGCAGTCCAGCACCCCCCCACCTCCATGCTCAGCATAAAGAACAAAGTGTTACTCAAACACAAGGAAAAGGTAGATGTCAGAGAAGGCTCTGTTCCAGCTTGGCCAGAATGGAGCAGAAGGAAGCGGTGCAGGGCTGCTGTGGTGAGGGTTCTACGTGCCTTTCGCCCAGTTACCAGCCTCAATCCTGTTCTGCCACCAAACAGAACCTGGGATGGCTGCAGACACTCTTTGTGTCCCCCCTCCCCCCCACAGGGAAGGGGCCTTTGCAATTCGCTATAGAAAAAGTCATAGGATCTTAGGGGGTGTCTTTGGTGCTCACTAATGGGTTGAATCAAGAGCTTCTTCCAACCTCCAGGTCTCAGTCTGTCACTCTCACCTCTCCTCCTGAGCCCTTTACTCTAAAGCATAAGCATCCAGGCTGACTGACATACAGACTTGGTTTCTCTCTGTAGTCATAACACTCTAGAGTCAGACTTGGGAGTGGTGCTGCGTGCTGCTTCTCAATAGTAACTGCTGGGTTCTAGGCTAGCACTAGCACAGAGGCTGTCTATCGGACTTAATCGTGAATTTCTTGCCAAAGCTGTAGTACCTGAGGACAGCACTTTTCATAAGTGAATAAACAGACAATGGAGACACTTCATCACACAATGAGGTGTCTGACCCAACACTGGTCCCAACTTCTAAGTTGTCAGTCACAGCCATGAAGCTGTCTTTTACAACAGGTGACTATGCTTGTCTTTTATTAACTTGCACTCAATATTGTACTAGAGTCGTCTGGCTCTTTATTTTATATTTAATCTATATCCAAACCTCAGCCCCTGAAATAAATCCATGAATTGAACCCTAATCTTTGGGTGACTTTATTCCAATTTCCTGCCATCATCGCTTCAGCTCAAGGACCACTCCTCTGATGTTCAAGTTAAATGACGCAGAGGGCATGAGAACTACAGTGCCTTACATTTTGAAAAACAGGCGCTGGCTCCCTGCCATTCAAAGGATACATTCCTATTTCCCAGCCTGCCATTCACTCGTCTGAGAACCTCATTTTTTTTTTTTTACTACTAAACTGTCTCTCTTCAGTCTCGTAGGCAGATCTTATTCTCTCTTTCATCTAAAGTCCCTAACAGCATTATTTCCTAAAGCTAGAACACCTTTCATATGCGTCTCCATTTTCATGACACCCTAAAAATATGACTTCCTCGCACATCAGGTAATCAGGGCCTTTGGTCAGAGTGTTGTTCCTAGTGAAAACACTTGCTACAAGGTGTTTTTAAAAATTTCTTTTCTTTAACTTCAGCAACTTGTTTAGTTCCCCTGAAACATAGATGTACAATGACTTCATTGCAGATTCCCTACTTTTGAGGCTTTCTTGTGACTGGCACATGAGGTGAAGTCACCTCCACTGTGCACTCTGAAGACAAACAGCTCATTGTCAAATAAACAAAACCAATACCACAGGTCTCACAGTTATATATGCTGCTGATGCACTGCCAGACACGCACCAAGATGGACTTGGAGAGACAAACACAGATGAGCCTTAGAGTCCCTCTAAGAGAAATACCAAAGCTCTCAGGAAGGTAAAGGGGGCTGCCAGGACCATTTGGGGCTCAGAGAGGGTTTGCTGAACACAGGGCACAGCCTAGATGCTGCCTGTATGTTGTGGTAAATGCTCACATCTCAGCATTTGGGAGACTAAGGAAGGAAAACCTTCAGTTCTCACAGAAGTCTTAGGAGTACCCCAAAATTCTGTGACATACACAACCTACAGTGACAGCCCTCTCACCATTCCCCTACACTCATGAGGCCAGCTACGTGTGAGGACTGACCAGCCACACTGCTGCTGCTACCTGCTCACACCAGTCAGTACACAATAGGTTGTCCTCTAGGGTTGTGTTCATCTCATACAAATTCTTTATTTTCTGTACTTTGTGCATAAATTCAAAAAGACCTTTGGAAAATACTGAAAACCTAGGAAAATATTTATTTAAACGGAAAAAAAATCTCAAGAGTTTCACCTTCCCTTTCCTATGCTTTTAATAAATAATTTATACTACTTTCACATCAAAACCAATAAAATCAACAGTGGCAACAAAACCAGCTGCTTCAGCTAAGTGTTGGCTGCTATCATGCCCTCTTCCTGTTGTCCCGACTGTGAGCTTCTAGACTGTAAGTCTTCATCATCACTGCTCAGGGGACAGAGCCATGAACAGGGCTGCTGGGATCCTAGGATAGTCATCTGCATGCCAGCTGTAGCACTGTGTTCTTATTCCCTCCAAACACTTGACCTTCCAAAGTCTTGTACAAACTCTGTTAGGCAAGGAGTTAGGACCCCACCACTGCCTTTGAGACATTCAACTGGGAGAGTGGGTCAGGAGGACAGATACTTTAGGAGACACTTACAAGAAGCCAGAGCCAGAAGGTGATTTGTTTTTCTTTGTTTTCTGAGACAGGATTCCTTTGTAGCCCTGGCAGTCCTGGAACTCGAGTGCTGGGATTAAAGTGTGCACCAACATGCCTGGCTTCAGAAGGTGATTTGAAGATGAAAGAGTGCAGTGATGGGCTTTGAAGATGGCAGAAGAGGCCACAAACAAAGGCAGTTACTAGAAGCTACAACAGGCGAGGCAACAAGTTCCCCTCAGAACTGCTAGGAGGAACCAGCTTGGCCAATATTTTGAGTTTAGTTTGGTTTTACACTTCTGATCTCCAGAACTGTAAGTGAAAACACCTGTGTTCTTCACGATATTGCTGTGACTAGTTATGGCAGCACAAGGAGATGAACTCAGGTAACATGACTTTCCAGGAGAGGAAGGTGAGTTTTCAGGTGTTAGAAGCCAATAGTGTACATGGGCATTAAGAGTAGTGGTGAGACTAGAGCCAAGAACTAGGGGTGCAGTAGCAACATCCTGCCAGAGCCAGGTTAGAGAGGGTGGAGCATGAAGGGCTGTTAAGAGGCCAGAGAAGGTGTGGGTGGAGAGGAGAACACTGGGGAGGGGAGGAGAGAATGCTGAGAGCTAGTGCCTCTCCACAGAGGTGATCATTCTGTCCTTGATATTTTCT